TCTTCAGCGAGATCCTCTTCTTCTGGAAGCTGGTTTCACATGGTGGCTTAGATTTTTCCATCTTTGTATCTAGCACCATTTGAAATCAGTGTTTTAGGAGTAAGAATTGCAGCACAGCAGAGGTTAGACTACAGAGGAGCAGCTGCACACAGGACTGGCTCTTTCCTTCAAGAAGTCAAGAGAAGACTTGGAGTAGTGGAATTTGGTCTTGAGTTTGTTTGGTTTAGAGGCAGTGATAGTGGGAAAGTTGTTTAAAATAAATGCAAGGGCATGGATCGGGGCAGGGAGGGAACTAATTTATCCATCATTTCATGGGAGGGGGAGGTTGGCTTGGACCTGACCTGTACTGCTCATCATCCAGCGATGTTTTGGGTGTTGATTGTAGCAGGGAAGGGGAGGGTGCTCCATACCTGGAGGAACGCTTCACCCGCATCAGTACTGCCTGCCTGTACCTGGAAGATGCCTGGAGGACTCAGTCGTGGTTGCAGCACAGCTGACGTCAGACTTGTCACTTGTCTGCCATGAGGTTCAGACCTGAAGACCACCACTGGCCCATCTCTTACACAGGCTGACCGATTTCTCCTGGTGTTCAGAGTCTGTTTTTGTCTAGCACCATTTGAAATCGGTTATGATGTAGGGGGAAAAGCACCAGCCTCAGAGCCTCGTGGTGTCTGGTCAGCAGCAGCCTGTCGTTTCCTACACAGGCAGAGCAGAAAAGGAAGATCACAGTTTCCTAACTTCTTTAATTCATATGTATGTGGTAGCAGAAGTTAGAGATAACAGGGTTTTAAAATTAAATTTTTGTAATTTATCTGATATCCACAGTTGTAATTTCTGACATGTGGTACTGTTATGAATTGTATAAACTGGTTGCTGCTGAACCATGTTTGAGTAGAGTATGTTCATGCATCCTGGCTTTAATAAATAATTTGCTATATTCAATTTATCATGTCTGTGTTTTTAATCTATTATTTTCCATTCATAATTCTGTGACAATGAGAAGTGGGCCCTGGAAAGTTAATTTGCTGTGCCAGTCATAAAGAATTAGAAGTTGGTTGCTGTAGACAAACATTAAAAATGAAGGCCATTAAGACAGGAATGAAATTCTAAAGGTGAAAGATGATCAGAGACATAAGGGAGCTCTAGGCTGAGGGATGTTACTAAATGCGAAGACTATTCTTGGTTCCAAGGAACTGTGGACTCTGACCCTCCTCCTGTCAGTGTTGCTGCAGGGAACTTAGTTAACCAAACTGTCATGTGGCCCTTAAAGGGGAGCAGGCTGATTTCAGTTGCACTTGTAGCAGATGGAGTTCTACTTTTGGGTGATAGTTTATTTCAACCCTTGAATAGGCGGTGAGACAATTTTGTAAAACTGTTCAGAGATTTGGCAGCATGGGGAGGGGGCAGGGTCTATGCTTGGAGAACCTTGAGGAAGAAAGCAGGTGGCCCCTTCCATAGAAGTTGCATAGCTAACTACGAAGCTATCTGCAGAATAATCATTTCAAGCCAGTGGGTTTCAGTAACTGGTGGCAAATCAGCTGCCCAGGAAGCTTTTTCTGAGGCCACATCCCAGTAGTCTTACCCCAGATGGCTGCTTGCCTATTGTGCTGGAATTGGGAGGTGAATGGAGGAGCATTTGCTTGAAAGACTTCCCAGTGACTACGATACATCCTGCAGCTGCAGAGCTATTTCAAGCTTTTGATTGAAGAATCTATGTTCTAAGTCTCAGGATGTGGTGGTGGGAATGGCTAAGTCCCTCAGCTGTATTGTTTAATTTGCTCCATGAAACTAGAAGACCGCACCTCCTCTAAGTATGACAACTTGGGTCATGGTATTAACTAAACATTAAGCCTTTTTTTGTTGTTGCCCTGTCCAAAGTTCCCAATTAATTCATATTGGAAAATTAAAATACGCCTGAGTCATGATTCTAGTTCTTAAATAAGTGATAATAGAATTTAGTATCAAAGTGCAAAGACAAATGCGTAAACAGTTTCATATCCTGAAGTTCTGAGAAGCAAAATGAAACTAGAACACCTCTCAAACACTTATTTTTTTTTTTTATCTTGAGTGCTTACATAAAATTGTCAGTCTGGGGTAGTTTTTCATAATTGACTGCTAATGCACAATACTTCTTTTTTTTTTTCTTTTGGCAGTATCCTCCTCAAACAAAAACCATGCTGTCAACCCAGGTAGAAAGTCTTTCTTTGAGGCATTATTAAGCCTTACCAGACTTTTTAGAAGTGAATATAATGTACTGTTGTTAACCGGAGGAAGAAAGATCTGCAACCAGTTTAGTAGAGCAAATGAATTAAGTCTGAACCCGAGCATCTTAAAAGAAGTTGGCCCAGGCCTTCTATTTGGAAACTGGCATATAGTTTCAGGAATAGCTAGCATACTAATATGTACATAGTTTTTAGGGAAGCCTAAGATAGTTCCTTTAATATATTATACATGGGCATATTCTAGCCCAGTAGCATGCTGCCGTAGCTTTGGTCACTGAAAGAGTGATCTTTGGGCCCTATCCCTGTAAGGAAGTACTATTTTAGTTGGTCTCAGATGAGTCTGGTGTACAGACAGGGTTGAGAGCCATTTCCCTATTTCTGAAAAGGCCATACTGTTTTGGTCCTAGTTCTTTGCTTCCGGTTATTATGTTGGTGCATAAATTTCCTGTAACTGCCCTTAACAAATGAGCACAAAAGTGATGTCTTAACATGCACATTCTTAACAGTTCTGTATGGCAGAAATCTGATGTTTTTATTGAACTGAAATCAAGGTACTCTCAGACACAAACCCTTCAGAAATATGAAGGAATAATGGGTTTCTTGGTTGGTTTATAAATATGCTGCATCGTTTTTTTGGCTTGTTCTCTTCAAGCTTCAGAGGTCAGCAGGGTCACATTTTACTTCATTGGTTGCACTGTCTTCGCTGATTAGTGTTTACCTTTTAACAAGATCACGATGTGATAAACCTATACATCAGAATTTGAGAAGCAGATTGCTTTGGGAGCCTACAGAAGGAATTCTCACGGTTGAAGCTCACCTCAAGTACAAATTTAATATTTTTTGAGATGTGGCAGTGGAGGTAGGTAATCAGATGCTTAATTTTTCCAATCACCATACTTAACGTGTTTGCCTAAGCATTAGATATTCCCTGAATTCCCAGTGAAGCCACAAGCTCCAAATACCATCGGATATCAGAACATCAGAGCTCTTGTTTCTAGTGGTTCAACACAGGGCTTAGCATTGCAGTGTATAACAATATTCAGAGCTAAAATCATTTCTTATTCCTCACATCAGTCCTACTACCTGTCTCAAGTTTTATTGGGTTTGTCCAGTCATGTCAGGAATCAAGGTTGGTAGTTTTCCTGCATTATCTGTGTGGCAGTGTGTTTACCTGCTGTATGAAAGCAAGAAGGGAAATTGTGTGTTCACATCAGTTCTCCCAGTATATTTTTCCTATATTAAGAAGTAAGAAATTGTTACTTTCCCAAAAGCAGAAGAGAACTAGTGTTCTACCTGTTCTAAAATACAATTAATGACTCTGGAGTTCCAGCAATGACAACCTCACAGAGAAGGGCAGAGGACTGTCAGATCCTCTACAGTCCATAGGAGGGCAGCAGTACTATGGTTCTCAAAGGTTGACACTTTATCTAGTGTAACCTCTGGATGAGCCTAGAAAGCCAGAACACAGGGACACCTACTCGTGTATCAGATTCAGTCAGTTCTGAATCACTTTTAAAAGTTAGTGGGCTGTTAAATTCTGCTCTTAAGGCAAATTATTAAAATATGTAAAATCTAGTCTTGGTTAAAATGTTAGCTGTCTGGTATCACAAGCTTTGGAACACTAGAATTGCTCATGTCCCTAAAACTTTAAAATTACTTTAAAGGGCAGTTCCAAATTCCTTTTGCCAACAGGTCTTTCTAGCATAATTCAGAAGATTTGTTGTTGGTTACAGTAAAAGTTCTCTATATTTTATGCTAATTAAAATATGCTAGAGTCTCACGTCAATGGCTTAAAATGCTTTAGTCAATCTAGTGTTCATTCTGTGTTGATATTAGTCAAATATTACTATCATTTTAAAATTGCAGTTTATCATTGCTTATTTTGACATCAGGACTTCTAAGCAAACAAGATTATGTTAATAATCTGTTGATGACTTTTTTTTCCATTGCTGAGGAGTGAATCCAGGGTCTCGTTATGCTGAACGACCTTCCTGATGAGCTACATCCCCAACCCATGAACATTAAATTCAAGACTTTGAAAATTTTTAATAAATAAAATTAAACTGTGATTTTCTTTAAGCTTTTACCCTCTTTATAAGTTTATATGGAGAGTTGACCGTCAGGCCGGAAAATTGCTAATACAGGTTCTCATCCTCACCTGGCAAATTAAAATCAGAGAAATTAAGACTTCCTGTTTTCAGGCCTCATTTCAAATTAATAATAACAGAGCACACTGAGGTAGTGCTCAAGTGTCAGTAAAACTTGGGGGAGGCCAGTGGACAGCCCCAGGTGAGAAACACTGGCCTGTCCTTAGTCTGGCTTACTTCATATTTGCAAAGGCAGCAAGAATTATTTTTGCATAAAGAAAACCAAATCCTATTAGTTACACAGGTCAGGTTTTTAATTGTTTGACTTTGCTTTTTGAGCCCTCTGAATGCATTAAAGTGATATGAAAGTTACATCTTCTATTTAGACATGTATATATTGAGTCTGAAATGTGGCTAAACAAGGCTAGGCAATAAAAGATTAAGAGCTGAGGAGTCAGAGTTTCACAGGACAAATAGGACATGCATTGGCCTCAGAGATAACATGGATCTGGAGAGGATGTTAAACGTTTCAGGTAACAATGGAGTGTAGAAGGCACAGATGTGTGCTAATGCACAGCCATTATGTGCAATGAAAGTGTGAAGTACAGGGAAAAGAGTTGTAATCAGAAGGTCTGGTGTCATGCTTGGAAACATGGCCTTCTTCCAGCAGGAAACGTCACTGAACATTTTGCTCTGGACACGGGCACTCAGGGCTGTGTTGAACCCTTGGTAAGCTGGAGGGGCTGGGATGTGAGGAGACAGTAGAGAGGTTACACTCAGATGGCAGTTAGAACCCTATTTTATTTACACTAGAAACACACACATACACACACACATTACCATAAATGAAGTTCCTTCAAATATATAATTTTACTTTTGCCAGACTTGAAGAACCAATTTTCAAAGATGGAACAGTAGTGACTTCCACACATGGAGCTTCTCATTTTCCTGCAGCTGCAGTCCTGAAGTTAAAAGAATATTTTTAAGTTCAATTATGCCTTTATCATTTAGACAATCTTAAAAACAAAACACACTTTTCATATATTTATATAACTGACAAATTATTTGATAAAATATAGATTTATACATCTCATAAATAAAAATTTGAAGGTTAAATTTGAAGCAGAGCATGTTATACAAGTAAATATTAAAAATACTTGATTACAAATACTTTAAGTTTAAAAATAATAAAGCCATTTCTTGTTTTTAAACAATTAGTCATTTGTTTTTAACCTGCTATCTTTTTGTCTATTTTTAATGCTGAGATTATAAGTATACCACCAGGCCTAGGTATAAGCCTGCATTTTTAAAATGTGTGAAAATGATTACAGACTTCAGTTTTTCTTAATCCAGAGCTTCTGGGTGGTTTTTTGGGTTTTTTTTTTTGTTCAAATATTATCTTCCCAGAGTATCTACTTGGAGGGCATAAGAGGTGGGGGTTACTCAGAGTGACTGCAGGTGTTTATACTGAAAACAGGATTCACCTTCACCCAGTTTCAGTTTGTATTCAGAGTCTTCCCAGGACAAAGCTTCTTTGCCACTCTATGCTACTAAATGTAAAGCACACCTTAGGAAGGACAGTGAATTGGGCATGGCAGTTTCTTCTCTCAGTTCCCCAGAGCCACTGGCTTGGGGCCTTGGTGGAGGCCAAGCTCTGCTCTACTTGAGTATGACTTACTCCAGAGCTCATTCAGCACAACTGACAGCAGGAGTGCCTTCAGGAGAGGGGTTAAGGAAAGGGCTTCCTCTGATAAAGGCAATATGCAGTGTCTGTTTTCCACATTCTTGAAGTTATTTGATGAATTTATTCCTTACAAACAACATAGGTGGCTTGGTTAAAGACGTATGTATTTAATGAAAGTCATGATTAGCCAGAACTTCAGAGTGGAGAGTTACTTTAAAAGGCTACAGTGTTCACATTGTAGATTCTTGTTATGGGTGTCACAGCCATATGGCCTTTTATAGAAGCATACAAATAGCTGTGAAATCTTAGGTAGTGTTTCTTTGGCTGGTTTATTGATGTTCAAAACAGTTAACAATTGCCACACATCAAAGTTATAATTTACTTAAATCACTGAAGTTGTCAGGGAAAAGTAGAATTTTACTCAACTAACATTTATATAGTTTTGCTATTAATAGTCTTAGTTAAGGATTTCTAAATGGCTTATATTCTGAATTTTTAGTGTCCTTTTAATGGATCAGAGCTGAAGGGGTATGTGCATTTATGAAGGCTTTTTATAATAAACCATATAGAAAATACATTTTAGAATTATCAAAAAAAGAAATCTTAAGAATTAACATTTAAAAGACTTCAAAATCATCCTCTTTTTCTTTTTTTGTTTTTTTTAATATTTATTTATTTATTATATATACAATAATCTGTCTGCATGTATGTCTGCAGGCCAGAAGAGGACACCAGACCTCATTCCAGATGGTTGTGAGCCACCATGTGGTTGCTGGGAATTGAACTCTGGACCTTTGGAAGAGCAGGCAATGCTCTTAACCTCTGAGCCATCTCTTCAGCCCCCTCATCCTCTTTTTCAAACAAATAACATGTAATTTTTTAAAAAACAAGGTCTTGTTACATAGCCCAGGCTGATTCAAACTCACCATTCTCCTATAGTTGGACTATAGGTATGTTCCACCATGTTAGGCTGAAATGTAATTTCATTATAAATTATATTTCTCTGAGTTACACATTATTATAAAATTAATAATTTACCAACCTCAAGTCAGTTGGGATATGGTATTGACATGCTTTGAAATATAAATGACAGTTAAAGGAAACCAGACACTTTTTCTATACAAAATTCACACACATTTTAAAGGTGTGTCAACGGCAGGCATTTAATGTCAATCACATTAAAATGTGAGCACTGTGGCCCAATAACCGCATGCATGACAGAGAAAGCTGCGACTTACATATTAGAGGCAGCAGACAAATTGCTCCTTGGAGTTTGTATCATTGATGGAGTTTTCTCTGATTGTATGGTTGAAGCTGACTTTTTCTGGTGAGTGGAATGCTTAGCTTTCAGCTCTGCTTTCCTACAAGACAAGGTATAAGAACAGCATCAAAATAAATTTAACTACGTGCAGAAATTAAGTTCCACAAACTTACTTTGAAAATAGGCATTTTTTCCCCTTGTGGGAATGGAATACAGTTCCTTATACATTCTAGTTAAGTACTCTACCACTGAGCTATATTTTCTCAGCCCCAAGATACACAAAAAACAATAGTTTTTATTGTATTGTCTGTGAACTAGAAAATATTTCAAATGTTCATGTCTCACCCTAAAAAGAAAGAAAGAAATGAAAAAAAGAAAGAAAGAAAGAAAGGAAAGAAATTCTTATGTTTTTGATCGTGGTATGTACACAGTGCTTGGTAAATATTTCAGGGAGGTATGCAGGCTTCTCTAGTCTCAGAGTTTTGCAAATAATTTTTATTAATGGGATAACTCTTACCTCTCCAGGGATGAAAGTAAAGAAAATAATGCATATATGGAGGAGAGGGAGTCACAAGTGAAAACATTTAAACAAAAAGCATCTGTGGTTTAGAAGTACTTGTAAGATGAGAGTCAAGCAGTTTGTTACTTCCAAGAGGAGAGAATTAGTGAAGAAAGGAGACTGGTGAGGGAAATGGACTTATTTGAGACCTATGTCGATCCTGACCTATTCTTTTGTGTATGTGACAGGCTAGGCTAACTGAATAGCAAGCACCTGGAATTTATCTATGTCTGCATCCCCATTGCTGGGATTGCAAGCATGTGCCACCACACCTGGCTTTTTATGTAGGTCCTGGGGATTAAACTAAGGTCTTCATGCTTGTATGACTTGTAAGCTACCATCCCAGCCCAAATTTTATCTTTTCTTATACCTGAGAGTCAATAAACAAAACTATAGAATACTTTTAACTTTTTGGCTATTTTGTTTGCACTCTGATGAGGCTAGAGAAGGATCATTGTGCTTTCAAGTCAGCACAGATATTTGTTACATCAAAGCCTTTTTACAAAAACACTCTAACAGAAATTTGGGGACGTCTATGCCTTCTTTCAGTTTTCCCCTAAAAATAGAAAAGTAGCTACACATTTTATAGTCTATATAAGAAGTTACAGTGGCAATGTGATATTGTGAAATACATATTTTTGGTCTTTACTGCCGTTCTGTAGCTAACAACTTAATATCTTTAAACTTTTGTGTGCTAATAAACTCATGGCTGGAACCTCTCAGAAGCTTCAGAAAAGATCTACTCAGTACGAAAGGACTGAAACTCAGCCCTGCGTCCAGCCTCCCAACATGGAGAAGGGAGGGAGGCTAAATGATCTAATTAAGCATGATTTTTTTTTTAAAGGCAGAAAGAATTAGGTTTGGAGATTCCAGATGGGGCAAAAAAAAGTTTCTTGGAGGAGTTCCCCCAGGAGTTCCAGAGCCTTCCTTCTCTGACACATACCTTTTCCTCTGCAGTTCCCACTGGTTTGAGTTCTGTGAGTCATTCTAGCAAATTAATCGAGTAAGAGGTGTGGGGACCATGGTTTATAGTTGGTGAGGCAAAAGCCCAGGTGAAAGGACCGAGCTTGGTACTGACATTGAAAACAGAGTGTATAGGAGATCTGAACTAAATAGAAGACACCAACTGGTGTCTGCTGCAGATCTGAAAGATTGCTGTGTGTGGAAAATCAACATTTTTTCACAAAAGTCTTCTGTGTTGATTGTCAAGTAAGGGTAAAAGAAGTGCATTTATTCTTGTTAACTCAGAGACAGTGAAAACCACTTTGAGGTAGAAAGGTTATGGGTTAAGAAGATAGTACAATAATTTAAATAAAAGAACATACATTTACTTATATGTTGACAAAACACTTCTACACATAAAATAAAAATAAATCTTTAAAAAATATAACAACTGGGCATAGTAGTGCCTGTCTTTAATCCCAGCATTTGGGAGACAGAGGCAGGCAACTCTGTGAGTTGGAGGCCAGCCTATTCTGCATAGTGTGTTTCTCACTATGGGGGAGGGGTGCACTTAATGACCTTAAATACCAGAAAAGAAAAGAAAAAAATGACAATGAACTTGATAGTGTTTTTAAAAATGTCAACACTGATCATGGATAATTGCAGTGGACCATATAGCACCCTTGGATTAGACAGTAGGTCTCAGACCTATCCCAGAGCATCAAGTGATCCATGGGCTTACAAAGAAGTATCGTCTGCACCTGACTTCTTGGGAGAGTAAATTTAGGGATAAAATAGTATCACTAGGGAGGCAAGGCAGTAGGATCATCACGAGCTTGAGGCTAACCAGAGATACAGAGTGAGGTAAATTCCCTGAAACGAAAAACAGAAAACTCCACACACATCCATATACAGGCTTCAGTGTTCTGAAGCCAAGCATTCTGAAAATTAAATTACTTTTTTATTTGCTGGAGATTGATCCAATGCCATATGTGTGATAAGCATGGGAAGATCCTAATTTTTAATTTAACCATCATATATTGGGTTTTTGTAATTAAAAAAGGCAAAGTATATCCTGAAAGACTATCAATACATTTTATATTTTAGCTGAAAAGTAATTAAGAGTTATTCCTCCTACACAATTCTTGGAAATTGCCCTACTCTGGGCATTGCACTGTTTAAAAACAAATAATCTTCCCAAAATATTTTTTAAATTAAATTTTCTATTAGACCACTGTAGTATTACATATGAACAAGAAGAATGACAAAACAAATTATTTTTAGATTTTCAAGTCACTATTATTTGTGAGGACAAAGACTAGGCAATTGCTTAGCTTTAAAAGATACTTTACATGTAACTATACAGTCTGTATATTAATATATTAATATTTCTAAGACTCCATAATGAATTTTTATGGAGTGATGTTATAAACAATAACAAAAAAGGCAATGAAAAGTTACTTTGTTTACTTTCTTTGGAAAGTAAACCTTGCATATTAATAAAACCACTGATAGCATTCCCCATGGACATTGTTTATCAATCTAGTTTAAAAACATGTAACCAATAGATAGGTCAAATGTTATTATTAGATATCCTATAAATACGAGATTTGAGATTCAAATAAAGGAATTACAGGCATATAAAACAGACAATTGAGTAATATTTAAAAGTTTAGAATTTGCTTTCCTAGTTTTAACTGTTACAGTCCCCTGCCTGGTAGGTAAATGAATAAAAAACGTGATCGACAAAGAAAATGCAAAACCCCAAGCAAATCTCCGTAACTTCAAAATGGCTATACTAATGGATATAAGATCATTTAAAATGTATAGGGCTTGGGACTGGCCAAGTGTTACTTCCTCAGTCTAGCCCTAGGATGTTTTTATTTGAGTTATTTAAAATGACTTTTAAAAATATAAACAAAGCCGGGCGGTGGTGGCGCACGCCTTTAATCCCAGCACTCGGGAGGCAGAGGCAGGCGGATCTCAGTGAGTTCGAGACCAGCCTGGTCTACAAGAACTAGTTCCAGGACAGGCTCCAAAACCACAGAGAAACCCTGTCTCGAAAAAACCAAAATATATATATATATATATATATATATATATATATATATAAAAAGATTGAGCTTTTACAAGAATATACTTCTATTTAATAGCCCGAACCAGATTATTAATTTAAGAGGAAACATGAAACAAGGCCTTATATTTATTAGGGATGATTTTAGAGCTCTTTAATTTTTATTACTAAACTTTTTATTTTTTTGTGGCTTTCACATCATGCATATCAATTCCATTCGTTTCCTTCATATCCGCCCTCTGTCCTTGCAACCTTCCCCAAAAATAAAATAAAATAAAATTTAGGAGAGAGAAAAAGAAAAATCTCATCATGGACACTGCAGTTTGACAGTGAATCACGCAGCAAACCCTTTTATCCATATATCTTTATGTGCAGCAGCCCAAGCCCTGGGTGACAATGAAACCACCCACATCATCCTGCTCCTGACCACATCCACCCACTCAGATATGCTCAGAGCTTTTTTAAAATAAGAAGAAAGAAGATGAAATTATCTAAATTCTGTCTGAAACTTCAAAGCACTAATCTGATCTATGTCATAAGTTTTATTCCAAATCTTACATTATATGTAAATTTTCTACATTTAATTTTGATACTTTGAATCCCTATTTTCACCTACGTACATACCCTGAATACCCCATCTCTTCTAAATCCTTATTCCTTTTAAATTTATGTATTTGTATTTTTTCCTATTTTAATCCACCGTTGTTTAAATTTTTATAGAGGCAGAACACAGATAAAAGATAATACAATGCCCTGTGAATTTTAGCCCTTCAGCTACTTCTAGCTCATTCACTAATCTATTGTGAAAAAAATTCAGGAGAACAAGAGAGAAATCAAATAGTGATGGTCTCAATCACAGTGATTAACATTAATAAATAATTCTCTAAAGAAATCAGACCCTTACATTGCTTTTTACCACTAGCCAAGTAAGACAAATGTAAGCTTTTATCATAAAAAAATTCAGTGACTTTAAAGTGAATATCACACTGAAATATTTCAAATTTAATTTTGGCCACTTTCGAACTTAGGAAATAGGATTTACCTAGGGCAGGGAAAACTTCATAATGACCTTGCTTCACTAAGTAACTTAAACTTCAGATTCCATAGAAAACTTTCTTGTAGTCATAACAGCTGCTAAAAAAAGCAACTTCACACAGATCCTTTGCTGCAATGATGTTTTAGCAAAGAAATGAAATTTGTAGGGCACATTACTGCAAGCATGCTTTATAAGGATGGTGCTCAGGGCAGAGGACAAACTTTGGCACAAAGGCATGAGGAAGATGCCGATTCAGTTAGAATACTTACCCTTTCTTCCTGTACTCAAGATATCTGAGTATGATGAGACAAATTACAACAAGTCCAACAACTAAAGAAAAGGAAAATAAATAGCATGTAACACTGAGAATGATTGCCAAGATTCAAAATCTAAGCAGAAGAAATAAATCAGTTATTTTTCAGTGATAACCAGTTATGCATTTAGATTTCATCTGCACTCTTTATTCTTTAAATCCAATTCCCTGGAATCATAGTTCACAGAAAGTCAGAGAGTCCTATCTGAATTTTAAATATTATCAAAAGCATACTTAGGATGAACATTCACAATCATTGTTTACAGGCTACTTCTAAGTAGACATAGGATATGAAATAATATAAATTAGCAAAGGGTAATACATAAAAGACCATGTTTCCTAAGTTACTTTATCTCAAGTTTAAAAACTTTTAAAAATACACTGCTTTACAGAAACAATTGGATTTAAGCAGTGAAAAATGTGGGCTACTTACTTGAAGTAACAACAATCAGAGCAATAATCCATGCATCTAAGGAAAAAAAGAAGCCAAGCATTTAGAAGTCTCTAAATTAGTTCAGATAATCTAAACTTAAGAGAATAATAAATGTTCATTTATCTACTTTGAACACAATCATTAATACCCAAGTCATTTTGATCACAGAACACTTGTAAGCCCCTTTGCAGGTTTGGGGTCCAACTTGTGAACTTCAATTTTTAGTGTGTGGTTTATTTTTTCTTGCTCCATCACGTTGTTTAGTAAAGGTTATTACAGAATGATTAGAATTCACCAAATAGAGGAAAATCATTACACAATATGCTATCTTCTATTTGATTTTGTCCAGTATGCTTCCTACAATTTGTTATAATGTTTAAAAGAAATCCATTCCCCTGAAAAGTAGATCTGTAGAATGTCATAAGCTTCAATAAATTAATTAAACAAATACTATTTTCAATTCTTACAAATATTCTAGGTTATCAGGCCCTTCCTGTCTTCCTTACACCTCACAGCCACCCCCATAACTAATCTTAAATGCCAAAGACCTTCCCTTCTGGAAGTATAGCCTAAGAGGTGGAGATAGAGTTCAGTCGCAGACCACCAATGAGTTATGCAGAGGAATTTAAACAAGCATAATGACTAACTGGGTGTTCTGGTTTTCTTTCTATTGATGAGAGAAAATACTTCGGCCAAAAGCATATAGGGGAGAACATAATTCATCCAGTTTATACTTCACGGAGGGAAAGTCAGGACAGGAACTCAAGGCAGAACTTGATGGCAGGCCTGCCAGGTATACATGCAGCATTACCTTTAAGCAGGGAAATCACTCACCACTCAGGGAGTATGGCAGAAACCGTGAAGGAAGGCTATTGCTAGACTGATAGCAAGGTTCATGCTTAGCTAGTTTTCTTAATACAGTGCAGAACTACCTGCCCAGGGAATGGTGCTTTCCAGTGGGCTGAACTCTCCTACATAAGTCAACAATCAAGACAATCCCCCTTTCCCCAGGCCTACAGGCCATCTGATCTGGGCAATCCCTAAATTGACACTGCCTTCTCAGGTGACTCCAGGAAGTATCAAATTAACAGCTAATGCTAACTAGGTTACTAGAGAACATTAAATTCTACAAAAATCTTACATTTTGGGAGTATTTATGTCTAATGTATTTTCTTCTAAAGTTTCATACTTAAGACAGTTCACAAACTGATGGTTTGACTGAATATTTTCATTTTACATTGGAAAGACACTGATGCATACTCAGCAGAAACCAATGTTGAACTTTAAATTGTGACCTTTGCCTGGGTTAGCAATGACATGGAACTTTATCTTAGATCTTGGGCAGTAGTGGAAAGCCACAGTTCCTACAGAAGCAAAATCACATGAGTGAAACCCGAACTTTGGCCATGTGAATATCTCTGATAATCTTTAGGTAGATACGCTAAGTACACTTTCAAGTTACTGTGGGTTAGCAATGACCCAATCTCCCATAATAAGCCAAATGTGATTTAAGAAAAAAAATCACTACTAATCTAGTCTAATAAATAAAACCTAGCAGATTTTTTGTCTTGCTCATCATGTCTACATTTCACTGAATTTTAGCTGTTTTAACTATACCTGATTTAGTTTAATGTGTACTGTATAAGTTGAGGACTACATAAATTATGCTAAACAAATCTTTCACACAAAAAAAATATTAATCCAACTTATAGTACTTTAAGGTCTATGTAGATCAGACACAAATAGGAAGAGAATCACATGGAAGGCAAGATGTGATTTATATACTTTAACCTCAACCAACTAATTTTCCTATATTGAGGCCCTTTTATAACATTGCACTTACCGCCATGTCACTCTACACAGTAGTACTTACATCTGTCATGGTGTCAGCCCCAAGTAAGCAATCCTAAATGTCAACTATTACTACTGACAAGATATGCTTCTTTTTAACTCGCAGTAACTTAAATGTATGATATTTCCATGTAAACTGTTAATGTTTCATACTTCACGGGTATAAATAACTGAAATAATAACCTAATTCTTGGCCAAATATTCCTTCACGGGGACTAGGATATCCTAGGGGAAAAAAAGAAAGAAAAATGGGTTAAGTAAAATAAAACAGAGAAATAAAAGAATAAAAATCAAAATCCTGTAAATTCTCAAGTTTATTCTTCACCAATGTATAAAAACTTCTAAGCTTTCATTTTTCTTATAAGTACCATTAATATTTCTTGTTTTGAGTATTGTTATAAAGTTCTACAGTTTTATGTTTTTATTATTAGCTTTTTCCTGTCTACTAATATTCCCTATAGTAATAATATATAGTAGCATACAAATTTCCTTATTCTCAAAATTAGTCTGTAAATTTTAAGAGAGTCTAGTTAAAATTAAAGATATTGAATTGGCTCAATAAATAATTCAGTTATCAACCTGAAATGGAAGGAAACTTTCTCAACAAAATAAATCCCATATAAAAATAACCCACAGTTAGTATTATCAATAATGAAATATTAGAAAATTTCCCTCTAAAATCAGGAACAAGATTGGGTACCCAGGTTTGCCACTTGTATTCAATATATTGGAATCTAACCAAAGCAATTAGGTAAGAAAAACAGAAAATGAATAAAAGTTAGAAAAATATATGTTTGAAAATGGAGTGACCTTTGTTTTCTTGTGCTGTTGGGTGTTGAACCCAGGCCTAAACACGCTCAGCTGTCACCCTACCACCACTTTGCTACAGCCTCAGCCACAGATGACATGCTTTTTCTGCAGACAGACTAATGAGTTCAGCAGAGTTGCAGGATACAAAATCCACACACAAAGGACAATGAATACTTTATAAAGGAAATTATGACAACTCTAGTTGCAATAGCATAGAAAAGGTAAAACACAAAGAATAACCCCAAGGCCATAAAAGACTTACACAGAGAAGCCTACAAAACTTTGCTGTAAATGATTTAAGAGATAAATACATGGAAACACATGGTTGTGGTATGCATACAAAGCATCCCCCAAAACCTCATGTGTTGAAGGTGTGATACTCAACTGATGGACCCAGCCATTGAAAAATGGTGGAATTTTAAGGACTCTGATTAAATTAATAGAGTCCATTCATAGACATGTAACTTGATGGCAGTATTAGTAAGTGGTATCAACAAGGAAGTGGACCCTGATGGAGGATATGGGCATGCCTCTGAAGGTTATACATGGTCTGTTTCTCTCTGGTCTCTAGCTGTTAGAAGACGAGGAGACTCTTCTCCCACACTCCCACCTCCATGCTGTTCTGCCTCTCCCTAGGTCATCAGCAGTGGTGTCAGCAGAATAAAAAACAAAACATCTGAAGAAGTTAATGAAAATATATCTTTTTCCACAAACACATGCATATACTAACTTAGTACTATGGCTTGAATGCTTGCTTTCTCCAAAATTTATGTAGAAATTCTTGCTGACATAAGGGTGTTGAGATGATGAGGCACAAATGTGTTGTGCCATTATCTAGAGACTGGGCTCATTGTAGGAGTGAGTCTGCCCATGTGGCATATACTTTTTCTCCTATCTCTCTCTTCCTTCTGGCTTGTTATGATGCAGAAAGAAGGAATTTGCCTAACAGTAGCACTTTGACATTACATACCTCCCTGAATCCAGAACCATGAGAGATATAAGTTCTGTCCTTTATAAATCATCTCATCTGTGGTATTCTGTTACAGCAACACAAAACAGACAGATGGCTCTTGTTACAAAAGCAAAACAAAACGAAATGAAACAAAGACCAGAACAACTGAGAATAGAGATGCAAGAAATGTGGTGAAGACTATAAAATCATGTAGCTGTTGTGGAAAGCAATAATTTCCTGAGAGAGAGAGAGAGAGAGAGAGAGAGAGAGAGAGAGAAGAAGAAGAAGAAGAAGAAGAAGAAGAAGAAGAAGAAGAAGAAGAAAAGAAATTGAATCACCTTATGACCTAGAAGTTCTATTCCTTGTTGTACACCAGAAAAATTAAAAGTGGAAACTTTGAATAGGTGTCTAACTCCATACTCAAAACAGCTGTAAAAAATAGCTAGGAGGTGTACATAAAGCAACCTTAATTTACCAAAAGGAACAAATAAGCAAAATGAGGCACTATAAGGAATGGAATATTATTCAGATATTTTACATTTAAAGGGGGATAACTGTTTTGTTATATGTAATTTTGCTATGTTAAAGTTAAAGCCTTTTTTTTTGTTTAAACAGAAAAAGGGGAAATGATGGAGGAAGGTCATTGGCTAATAAAGGAATTGCCTTGGCCCATTTTATTGGTTAGAAGATAGGTGGGAGGAGTAAACAGAACAGAACGCTGGGAGGAACAGGAAGTCAGCTCAGACTCCACAGCTCTCCTCTCGGGAGCAGACGCCTCAGAGAGACGCCATGCCCCGCTCCTGGGCAGACACACGCCATGAAGCTCCGACCCAGGATGGACTAGGCTAGAATCTTCCTGGTAAGACCGGTTCTCACAGATTATTAGAGATGGGTTGATTGGGATGTGAGAATTAGCCTGTAAGTGCTAGAGCTAAAGGGCCAAGCAGTGTTTAAAAGAATACAGTGTCCGTGTAATTATTTTGGGTAAAGCTAGCCGTGGGGGCGGCCGGGTGCCGGGGACGCAGCCCCGCCGCTCTTATTACTACATAAGTGTCCTAGAAAGAGATGAATGTTACATGGATCAAGAGTTATATGAAGTTAGCAAGGCACAAAAGGATAAATTCTGCATGATCTCGGTACAGGAAATACTTAGAATGGACAAAGTTATATAGGGAAGCAAGGAAAACAGTGTGTAGCAGGTGCTGGGAGAGGGAGGAACAGGAAGTCTTCATTTAACAGTGTAAGTTTCAGTTAGGGATGATGAAAGAGAACTGGTTGCACAAGAATGTCTGTGTGTGTAATGGCAAAGAATTGTCTGGTTGAACTGCAAGATTAACATGAATGGTCTAGAAATTTTTAAAAAGTCAAATATTAAAAAAAGAGTACTGTAGTTTTAAAAAGACAACTCTGGTGTAGGAATGGGTAGGGTCCAAACGAGAAAGAAGGCTGGAATACGTGTGATTTTATGTACAATGAAAAGTTGGGCAAGCTGTCTTCTTCCCAGATGAGAAAGCTCTGCTTATAGTTCCACTTATCCACTAGCCCTTTTTAGCCCCTAAGTGGGGATGAGGGAAGGAGGAGCCTGTTACCCCTCCCCACAAATATCAGCATGTGTTTCAATTTGATATAAAGAATTCAGATATATGAATAAAATATGTAATTCTCACCAGGAGAAGACTAAAAGCCTGTTTTTATTTAAAGATTTTTATTTTTTTAATTCGTGTGTGTGTGTGTGCCATGTACATGCAGGTACTTGAGGAGGCCAGAAGAGTGTCAGATCCTCTGAAGTTGGACTTACAGTAGGTTGTGAGCCACTCCACATGGATGCTGAGAATCAAATGGGGTACTGAACAAGAGCAGGACTTGCTCTTAGCTACTGAATTATCTCTCCATCCCCATTCTTACCTAAAGTTTTTTATATGACATACAACTCATAGCAATTGATGGAATAATTAAAATATCTCATCACCCATTTATGTAAAACTTCTGACACACATGACCACTAGGAGATTGGTAAAGTAAGATGTATAGTATGCAACTTACTACAGCCACAACATTATATAGTAATTGCTCAGACATCTTTTCATGAGCAATCAAGGGATCTGGTAAAGACTAAACCAAAAGGCAAGGCTTTTGGCATTATTGCTTCATGAATACAGTGGCTGTCCTTTACTGTAATTTTTTTTGCTGTAGTTGACTCTTTTTCTGTTATATATTTGGGAATTCTCACAGTTCAGAACTGTTTAGTGAAACCAGTTTCCCACTGGCCAGGCCTTGTTCCTCTCTCCTAGGTAAGCACAGAGATCTGCCTTCCTGCAATTATCTTTATCAGCAGGTATTTGGTCAGAGTTTAGGGTCCAGGCAGAGAGCATCCCATCTAAGATATACATGGATCTCTAAGGATGTAGAGTTACTACCTGCTCAAGCTGCTGCTCTGGTTTTACCCCACGATCAGAACGGTTGATAACAGCATAGCCCAGAACTGATAATTTAGAGGCCTGGGTCTCTTCTTTGCTTATAGCATTAAGTCTAACTCCAGACCTAGGCCTGTAGAAATTGTGGTGTCTGGTGTATGTGCTATTGGATCAAGAGCCATCAGATTACCCTGGGTTGCCTAGTTACCTCACAGCCTCTATGCATACCAGGAGAAAAGAAGCGGTGCACTAATTTAAACAATCTGTGCCCTATTCATAATTTTACTGAAAATAAACCTTTTAACCTTTTATCTATCATCTAATAATAATGTAGCATACTAACCTCCTCCCTAAGAATCCCTGATGATGTAATTCCTTTCTTACTAACTTTCTCCATTAAGTAGTTCACGGGATGTGTACTAGCCACTCCCATGGATCTGTGTGTGTATGTGAAAACCCTTATCTAATTTTCTATGGGGAAAAAGAACCTGCTAGGGCTGGGGAATTGCTGGTTTTAAGGATATATATGACTGGGAACCCTGGTAATGGGTAGAACTAGGGACAAGGAAGAACAATGTAGAACAAGGAGATCAAGTAATGGGTGGAACAATGAGAGATGATGGGTTGAAGAGAGAAGAATGGAGAAACATGGTCAGACGATTCCTGTTGTGAGTACACTTCTTTACCCTCAGATCTTTAGCCCCCCTTCTACCTATTCATGGTGTCTTTAATTGAACCCTGAAAGGGAGTCTTAAAGGCAAAAACTTTTAAGGCCTCCAAAAGCAACTATTATGGGAATAAATCTAACTAAATCCCAATCTAAGACATTAAGTGAAAGAACAAATCAACAAAAAATATGTGAAGTTTGATATGATTTTTGCTTAAAAAAAGAAAATGTTGGTGGGGAAAATAGCTCAGAGATCAAGCACTCGCCACATAAGAGTAATGATCTGAGTTTGGATCCCCAGACACCTACATAGGCAGTCTACCTGCATATCTAGCCTTGGAAGGTGGAGTTGGGATTCCTAGAGATTAGAGAGACTGGCTATATCTGTGAGCTCTGGATTTGATGAAGACATCCTGCCACAGGGAATAAGGAATAGGGATTGAGAATGATTCCCAACATTAACCTCAGATTTCCACAAACACGTGTATATACCACAAATGTGTGCATCCACATATATGCAAACACACACACACACATAAAATAATGAGGAAAAAGGAAAAATAATAGAATGTTGATGTACAAAAATAAATAAAAAATAACCCTAAAATATTAGTAGCAATTAACTTTCACAACATTATTTATATACTTTTAATCTATAAAAATAAATCTATATCCAGATGTATGTAAATTAAAATATTTTAGGAAAAAAAAGGAAAGAGGATATGAATAAATGACCATTGGGTCCAGTGGCAAGAACCTAAAGGCAAAGATTATTTGAGATGAGAATTGAATGCCTGAGCATCAATAGTGACCCACCTTATCCCCACCTCAAAGGATGCTTTAAAAATGTAATTTTAAAAAGTTCAACTTATTAAAAACTGAAAAAATGACAAAACAAGACACCATTTCTCATCTATATCTCATGGAACTCTTAACTCCATCAGTAGGACAAAGAATTATCAAACCTGGGTAATTGTAAACTGGAGGCTTGGTGGGATAAGTAGGCTTAGGACCTAAAAAAAAAATAGAGTCTATCAGTTCATTAGGCTTATTAATATAAAATTATAAATTTAATTATAACATTAATTTTTTATAAGGATTACATATGAAAATAAAGAGTACACATACTTTCTGTACTTTATAGTTCTACTAGAGACCTAGCCTATAGATATGTTTGATCTACATATATAATTGCACAGACCTGTGTACAAGAATCTTCACTACAGCTTTGCATTTTACAAATACAAATCCTAGAAGGTAACTAAAAATAAATCATAAAGAGAATGTGTTCAAGGTAAACATATGCACCCTAACAAGTCAGATACCATACAATGGGCACCGTAATCTCTCCACTTTTCACATACCATCAGACCTACCATAACACTAGTACAGGCTACTGCTGCTGCCGCTTTCCAATTCAAGTTCTTCCCTATGGGCAATAAAAAATGACAGACAATTCTACCAAGATTTTTTTAACAGAAGGATCCCTCTTAGTTTTACTTCTTTATGAGCCTTTTCTTATATATCTTGTCTTTCAAATAGCAAAATGAATTAGTGTTTCATAAATATTTTATTAAGTACTTACTGTCAATTCTTTCAAAAATTCCTTTCAACAGAAACTCAGCTAAGATATAAAAGAAAGCTACTGGAAATGTCAGGTTCTTGTATAAAATATCAAAATGTACTCCAGAAATTGGGCATGGTGGTACATGCCTCTAATCCCAACACTTGGGAGGCAGGCGATTTCTGTGAGTTCTAGGCCAACCTCATCTACACAGATTGTTCTAGTATATAGTGAAAATCTTGTCTCAAAAGAAAAAATAAGAAGAAAAAAGAGATTCTAATCACTGGGTGAGCAAGTAAGCATCTACAATTCTCATATCTCTCAAATCTTTAAAATATTAAGAAGACAGAAAATATTTTTAAACAAGTTAGAACCAGTAATTGAGGTTTATTTGAGTTCAATATCCTTGTTAAAGCAACATGGAATCCAAAGTTCATAGAAATGAAGTTAGTTTGGTTAGGCAGAGTCAAGGTAGGACTGTGGACAGTCAGTCCTGTCTGATGCTCTTTCCAAGACCCTGGTGGCTTCCAGAGCATCAGCTGGAACCACAGCAAGGAGCTCTGCAGTGGGAATGATGGTTCCTCCATCATAGAAACTTCTCCATGCTTAACAGCAGCTGATTGGGAGGCTCTAGAAAACCTAAGTCACTTCAGCTGGAGAGGCTTCCTAGCTCTTGGTTGTTAAGAAATCTAGTTTCTGTTGTCAGTGTTGCTTGGTAAAGACAAAAATAACGAACACATGTTTTAAATAGGTAAGGGGAGTGGGGAGGAAACGGAAAACGCAGGTTTCATTCTTGAAGCAGCACAAATTTCTATTATATGCACTACTTAAAAAAAACTGAAAACCTGAGCATAGTCCATGCTTATAATTCCAGCACTGAAGAACTAAAGCAGGAGTACTGTGACTGAGGCCAATTTGGGTATATACAAGATCCTAAACAAAACGGCTAATGAGATTTTCACCCCCAAACTGACCACAGTTCAGGAAATGAACTGTGTCTAACATGATAAGAAGCAAAAGTGTAAGCAAATCATTTAGGTTAAAAAAAAAAAGAATTAAGTAGCAAAACTGAATACAGAAAACAGCAACAAACAGAAGCCAAGGGCCTTCCTTTTTATTAAGATTGATGCAAGTAGAGAAGCTATGTAGCTAACTTTAAGAGTATCCCATATACCAGGTATTGTGGTAAGTCCTTTAAGGGCATCCAACTTACATCCTGAACACAATAAGAAAAGTACTAGATCATTTGACACATGGAATTACACATTTAAAATGGACATACCTTTTCTAAATTCACATTCCTGTTCATGTGTGGGACTATAGCAAATAAAATAAGTTACTACTTTTCACTATCATGAGTCATACCTTTGGTTCTTGCCTTAATTATATAGCAATAACCAGGCTTCAATTTACTCTGAAAAATGTTGCAACCCACTTTTTATATTGAAATGCACTTAAGAGAATATTGCTATGCTCTAATAAACTAAAATCCCCCCAAAAAATAACAAAAATCACAACAGCAGAATTTTATGTCATATATATGGCACAGGAATGATTATAAGCCTGAGCTATGTACCAAAATTATTGTTTTTCAGGTTTCATAATATTTAACAATAATGAAATAAATTTCAAAACAAGCAAACAAACAAAAGGGAAATTAAAGAAGGGAAATGAGACATCGTTTATACCTTTAATACATATTGGGATTGGAGGCTCCCAAGTGCTGTTAGCATTGCAGATCACCGTGTCCCTGCCCCTCATGTAGAAACCCTCCTCACATTCAAATGTCACTGTTGCTTCATAGGAAAATTTCTTTTCAAATCCTGCTATCTGTCTTCCGTTTTGTAGTAGTGGAAATGGACATTTTACCACTGAAAAGAGAATTGGTCACAATTTAATAAAAATCTGGTTTATTTTTCATATCAATTTTCTGAAATTTTTAAGATTACAACTCAGAGTTAAAGAAACATATTTTGTGTTCCAAATATGAGCACATAGATCCCTCAAAAATTCACAATAATACTCACCTTCCCCATTCTTTAAGTAAAATTAGTCACAATCCATTGGACTGATTCATAGTCTAATAGAAGAATTGGGGGAGAGGGACAAAAATTGCTAGTTTAGGCACTATGGATGTTATCCTATATTGTGAGGTATAAACTGAACAGCAGATCACATTCAGCTTGTTAAACTCAAGTGCTCTTCCCATTCCTGGGGACCTGAGCTCCTGTCTGGTACCATTTTTTTTTTCAGTCCAGTACTTCCTTTAGCAATTTTAAGCTTTTTTATTTTTTATGTGCATTGAGCTTTTGTCTGCAGGAAGATGCCAGATCCCCTGGAATCAAAGTTAGAGACAGCTGGGAATCGCCATGTGGGTGCTGGGAATTGTACCTGTGTCCTTTGCAAGAGGGCCAGTGCTTTTAACCGCTGAGTCATCACTCCAGCCCCACTTTGGCAATTCTCATAGGCTGGCTGGGAAAGTTCTCAGCTTTGGTTTATATAGAAGTGGTCCAGTTATTTTTAATGCTTCTGTCTCGAAGAATTTTTTCTTGATTAAAAACCTATAGATTAATTATATCATTGTTCTTTCCTTCCTTCCTTCCTTTCTTTCTTTCTACTTATTTATTTATTTATTGAGACAGGGTTTCTCTGTAGCTTTGGAGCCTCTCCTGGAACTAGCTCCTGTAGAACAGGCTGGCCTTGAACTCACCGAAATCTGCCTGCCCCTGCCTCCCGAGTGCTGGGATTAAAGATGTGCATCACTACCACCTGCTCCTTCTCATTCTCTACCCCCCCCCCCCCAAGACACACACATATACTTCTGGCTATAGTTTTATCTAATTTATCCATCTTCTCCCAAAATGCAGCTGTTGGTTTCTATTATTTTTCTTGTTCTCTCTTCTTTTTTCTGCTTCATTGATGTCTGCTGTACTTTCTTGCAACTTGCTAGTTTAATTTGCTCTTTAGATTATTATAGTGGAAGGCTAGGACTAGGTCCTTTGGTCCCTAATTTACAATTTTTATTTTTCTAACACAAATATTTTGTGATAGGAAGTGTACTTCCGGTGAACCCTGGCAAGTCCTGACATTTTGAGAAGCTGTTTTCATTTTTACACATTTCACACACTTTGCAATTTTTCTGCTAACTTCTTTACCTATAGATTATGTAGAAGTATCTTGCATAATTTTCAGATTTTGTGGATTTCTACTTTCATTTCTTAAGAGTAGGTAATGCACTTTAAATTACTAATTTTTTTATATTTGTTAAAAAATTGTATTAGTCACCAGTCCTGGTGACATACACTTTTAATTCTAGCACTCAAGAGGCAGAACCTGGAGGATCTCTGTAAGTTCTAGACTAGCCAGGGTTTATATAGTGAGACCTTATGTCAAAATAACAAACAGCAAAAACAGGCAAAACAACAGCAACAAAAACATCTAAGCATCTAGATTCTTTTCTACCTTGCAGCCGTCCCTTGTACACTTGGAAAGATAAGGATTTGCTGGGAGTCAGTGGTAGCTCTCTTTCAAGAGCAAAACCTTCCAGTGGCTCCATGTTTTTGGTAACGCTTCCATGCCGTAAACAATTTAGGATAAAAAAAATACAAAAAGCAAACTTTTGTTTGTCTAGATTTTTACTATTCTTTCGGTGAGAGGGCTGCTAATGATAATCTGCTCTGCCATTACCTGTAGCAAGACTGTCCTATCTTCTTGTAACACAGGATAACTTCCTTATTTTCCAGCCAGTGTATGTTGAGTGTTTTGGTTCTTTAAAACAAAAATACCCCACCTCATGGCTCACATTCTAGGAAATGAGGATGGAACTCCATAACTAGAATTATTTTTGGATTTAACTTAACAGCTATGAAATTAAATTAGAAAACAGTTTTAGAAGAGTATAATAGCCATATGTTCACTGTGTTTACTTTTAGGTAAAACTACTTGCAAATGAAGGAAAGATGATTACCTTTACACTCTGGAGCCTGGCTGCTCCAGGTGTTATGGCCAGTACAGATCAGCATGCTCATTCCAATAAGGGAAAACTTATCTGGCCCTGAGATAGGATCACAACTGTAAATCACTGCTTCACGGTATCTGAATACATCAATATCACTAAAGGTGTGTGTCCCATTTTTTATTTTTGGAGGTGGCACACAAGAGATTTCTTTATAAAAAAGAAAAAAGGGAAATAAAGTTATAATTAAGTTAGTGTACCTATTCAAGACAGTATTAGGAAACTATAAATTATTAGCAAATTTATCAGTACAAGGTTTTTATGAGTTATTTATGAACCCAATTTTCATCTAAAAGACGATTTCTATATCTAAAAGAGGATTTCTAAATCCATCACTTCAAATTTAAACCACTAACACAGAAATGACCTTTCAGGACAACACTCATTTTCCTAAGGGAAGGAATGACCTTATTTGTGAGGTCATGCCAAGTTTTGTTCTAGTCAATAGAAAAGATGCTGATCATCTGGTGAAAACCTTTGTGATGAAAAAAATCACGTTGAATACTGATTGAGAAATGTGTTTGAAGGCACAGGTACATTCATTCAATAGAATGGTGGCTTAAAATCGTACTAACATACTATCATGTATCATTTTCATCCTTACAGTACAATGTTTTTGCAGAAGTAACAAACTTTGATAATTGAACAGACTAATTCCCAATGTCTTCCTCCAAGTCAAATATTGAAGAGATTTGCAAAACACAAAGCAGTGTCCCTATTCTTACTTTTAAAATTTCAATAAAAATATGTGAGATATATTAATATGTAGTTTATTGTTCTTAAAATAATTATTCAAAAATATTTTCATTCTAATCCCAGTATGATTAATATCAATAGATATAACCAGGGAGAAAAGGTTTTTTAGGTACTTATTAATCTAAAATCATAATAGGGTCCCGAGGCCAAAATGGTTGAGAAGTGATAGTGTAAATTTTAAAAAAAGAATGTACTTACTTTCACAACGTGGGGGAGGACCATCCCAGTGTGCATCAGCATCACCTTTAAGCACACAGTGTAGAACTGACATACCAATTAAGTAATAACTAAATGAGCAAAGAAAAAGTTACTGTTTTCTTTGGCAGCTGATAAAATACACATAATAATGAAAGACAGTTTCAGATAGGTTTTTTCCTATGCTATAGTAGTTTGAAGGATAGGTTTCTTAAACAAGGTATAATGAAAGTACTAAACAAATCTAACCAAACTTTAATTAGATAAAGAGTTTCTGTCTGTGAGCACGCAGTCCAAGAGCTGTGATATCTAGGCACATCTGATGTGACCTGGCATCTTTGCTATCTCCTACAATCAATCATACTATTCTGCTTCTTTGTCTTTGCCCATCTGTTCTGCTCTGGGAGAATGGACAGAGGAGAGAAGTTTCCTTAGGAAAGGACTGTCTGGGTTCTAGTTCTATTTCCATGACTGACAGGCTACTCAAGCTTGGACAAACCATTTTAAGTTTCTCTTGTTCCTGAATTAAAAACATACAAATAGCTAGGTGTGCTGGCACACAACTTTAATCCCAGAACCCAGGAGGTAGAGGAACGTATATTTCTGTGAATTAAAGGCCAGTTTTGTCTACACAGCAAGCTCCAGGCCAACCAGGGTTATATAGTGAGTCAGTGTCTCTCTCCTGTCTCTCCTCCTCTCTCTCCTCTCTCTCTCTCTCATACACACACACACACACACACACACACACACACACACACACACACCAAAATACAAACAATAGTAAATCAGATATCTTATAAGATTGTTCAAGAGAATTAGATAAACAAGAGTCTGGCACACAGCAGTAGAAAGACTATGTTATTTCTTACTAATATAATGATTTATAATGTCTTTCTAGGAACAGCTCATGATTAATCCTGTCAAGTCTCCTAGTTATGCTAATTCACAGATTATTATTCTGGACTCATTCCACCACCACAAAAATTCTTATCTGGTATTTTTTTATAATTTTGCTCTGATAGCTTCTGTATCTACTGGGTTTCTCAACAAGATTAGTCTTTGAAAAATATTTATGGCCTAAACTTTTGGTTCCCTCAAAGTACCTAGGAAATTTCCTCAACCTAAATTTCCTTTACCTAAATATACTTTTACTTGATAAAGTTAAAAATTTATTGCCAAGCATGGTGGTGCATTCCTTTAATTCCAGCAGGCAGATCTCTGTGAGTTTGAGGCCAGCCCAGTATACAACACATGTTCCAGAAGAGTCAGGGCTGTTACACAGAGAACCTTGTCTTGAAAAACAAAAACAAAACAAAAAATATCAATGAAACTCTCTGATGACAGTCACAGCCAATTTTGCCCAAGAGTCACAATTACTTCTAAGAGAGCTCTAGAGAACAAAGACTTACTCAGTGACCAATGCCTCCTTTGGAGACAATTCAGGTTATGTAGAAATCTGAAAAATAAGGTTTTCCAACCAAAACATCCTGTCATGTGGTAAAGATGAGTTAAGTTACATTTTAACTTGTTAATGCCTTCAAGAATTCTCCTTTGGTTAGCAGTTCTGCCTTAATTTCATGAGCGCCCCACTTTGTCCTTGAGCTGGCGGTAGGTACACTTGACTGTGAGTAGTAAGGTCACCATGCTCACTCACCCTTTGGATATGTAGCCCAGACTGGCCTGGAACTCACTGTGTAGTCAGTGTGCCCTCAAACTCAGGGAGATGCACCTGCCTCATACTCCTGAGTGCTGGAATTACAAATTGAACCACCATCCTTGGCAGATTACTCCATTCTTAATGTTTATCATAGACTTATTTTTAGATACATGAATGATACAGATCAAATTTCCTTCAACTTCTTTATTGATTAAGCACCTCTCCTATCTCCATAAAGTACACAAATGTTGTTTGGCTAGGAGCCTCATATTGCCTCATATAGTAAGCAAATTTACTTGAATGATTAAAAAAGAGAAGTAGAACAATGGAATCAGGAACATTTACCTTATTTCCCATAAGGAGCAACTTACCCCTCCACACAAGAAAATTGAGCTCGATTACCCCATGAACGTCTGCCATCCATGTAGTGTACACTGCCAAATGAAGGGCTCTTTAATGTTGAACATTCTACTTCTAGAAGAAAATAACAATAATTTAATTCAACTCCAAAGCCAGTTGCACTTGAATCAAGGTAAAAAAGTAATACATGGTTCTTTTGAGTTTGTAGATTATTTTCTTTAATGGTTACATTATAAGGGTGTGGTGATTTGAATAAGATGTTCTCCATAAGGGCATTTGAAAATTGGGTGTCTAGTTGGTGGCTGTTTGAGGAAGATTAGGAAGTCTAGTCTTGCCGGAGAAAGGATACCACTAGGGTGGAGGTGTGCTTTGAGGTTTCAAAAGATTTTTGCCATTTCCAGTACATCCTCTGAACCTACTTGCCATTCTGAGATGTGAATCTCATCTGTTCCTGCCATGATACTTTTTATCTACTATCATGGACTCTAACCCTCTGAGACCACAAGCCCAATTAAACCCTTCCTTTTATAAGTAGTCCTGGTCATGGTGTTTCACCACATCAGAAAAGTAACTAATGCAAAGGACAAGCATGAGATTAACAATTATGAAATCAATTAATTTTCCAAGAAAAAAAAGATTCCCTATAAATTTCCCAAAGCTTGAAAAAAAAACCCTCACATTTAAATCAAAACTTTGTTTCATAGGAAAAGTATCACTGCAATAGGAGTATAAGCACCCCAATCCTAAAATGTCTGAAGATCAAGAAAAAAGAAAAGTTGAGTTTACTTACTAAGACAACCGTCATCTGAAATAGGGACCCATGTGTGATTTGGTTCACAGGTAGCAAACATGGGGAATGGAATCATATATAGGTATCCTTTTTTACACTTATATTCTATTGTCTCTCCAACCTCATAATAGAGTTTAGGCACACCCTTGAGTTCCATAGCTTCAAATGGTGGTGGTAGTTCACAAGCATCTAAAGATAAGGAGGCAAGAACATGAAGATGAAGTGTGAAAACCACAGTTACAAACTAAGAAAGGCTATTTTGTGGCAGGAAGGACAGAAAAAAAGAATTTTTTAAAAAGCAAGATTCTAAACTCTTAGTACCTGCCTTTCTTTACTCAAACAGTGGCAGTAATACAAGAATATCTCTGACTGGTTTAAAATAACATCAGCTTTTGGGTTATTTAAGAATGAATTAACTTTTATTCAAAAGCAAAACAAGGAGACATGATAAATGGTTTTGGTTTTTTAAAAACGAAAGATATGAGACTATCCTGTTCTTAATGACGATGTTTCATTCACTATTACTCCTCTAATACCCAGTACCAAAGTTGAATGAGTGCTGTGATTGATTCTTTATCATCTATAAATCAGAATTCAAATTCTTTACTATTCAGAGAATTTGTTTTGATGATATCTTAAAGTCATGTTTTCTTTGCTGTTTTTCAGACAGTCTTAACAAATTTTTATTATTTTAGCTATAAATATTTCTCTGTGTTAATACTTCTTTTATGTCAAAATATTTACACTTTTCAGGTTTGTTATGGGCTTATTCTGCATTACTGCTAAAATTAGAAAGCAAATTCCAAATACTGTGGGTTGTATTTTCCTGGAAGTACAGTAATAACAGATATCAGAACTTCAATAACAATAGTGATGAGGATTTTAAAAAACTACAAATAGCAAAGACTCAGCACATTGTGCTAAGCATATGGTGTCCTTTAACATATCTTCATACTAATTATTTAAAACAGTTTCTCCTTCTGTAAAATGAGAAAACTGAAGTATCACAAGGTGGAAAAACCTGTTCAGGAATGCATTCCAAGTATGTGTCAAGCTAGGTGTCAAGCTAGGCAGCCTGTGTCCAGGTCACACTGGGCACCACTGCCAATGCTATGACCCTGTCCTTCCCCATCTGGACCTCTCCAAGGCAGATGCCACCCTATCCTGCTTTAGTCCTCAAAAAAAATTGCCTTTTATATTGCTTGGGGACATTACAGTAGCTGTAGTTTAGACACAAGTTGTACTAAGTCAAGTAAGGAATAAAAGGTGTTCCACACATCAGGTAAACCATCAGAGCCTGTACTGTTCCAAACTTGCCCCTCTAGTTTTTATTGTCACTTCTCATAATTACTTAGTACTCTACTTTTTTCTTATTTCTTTTGTGTCAAACTAAGTAGCTGCTGATCAGCTGTGTCCCATCTTGGATATCTTTGCTTTCATTGCTCCACATCCCACCCAGTTCCTAGCTATGCACACTGGTAGCTCTCCCCTCTTTCTAGATACCTGAAGGGAACATCTAATGCCTCAACTCTGGAAACAGTACTTTGGTCCCTTCCTTTGGACTGCCCCCTATCAGAGTATCTCAGATAGGTCACATGATGGCTGTGTTCAATAGCTAAGGTGAAATCTAGTCATCAATACAGCTACATTATTCAGCATTGGCTCGTCACAGTGGCATTAGAGTACAATAAAGCACTTGCAAGGATTATATTGTCATGATTATAATAATGAAAATAGTCATTTGAAAGATTTATTCATTGGAGAAAGAAGAGATATCTAAGAAAGGAGAATCGTCTATTTTTTGTTTTTGCTCTGTGTGCTAAAAAATGAATTTGAAATGAATTTTATGCCCTGGCAAAGCTGAAACATGCATGGGCAGCCTGTATGTGCAGGTTCTGTTGAGCTTGTCCATACTGGGCTTCAAGGTCTAAGTTGATGAGGACAACTGACCAGGTCTCTTCCTCAAGAGGGCACCAGAGGTCATTATAGATGGTTGGGAGCCACCATGTGGTTGCTGGGAATTGAACTCAGGACCTTTGGGAGAGCAGACAGTGCTCATAATGGCTGAGCCATCTCTCCAGTCTGCTAGTATTGTATAACTCAGCAGCTGACCACATAAAGATAATTCTGTTACACTGTAGCACACAGCGTAAGGACCAAAACACTAGAGTGTAAGCATTTATTGGTCTTAGGAAGACCTAAAATAGGTATATTGGAACAGACACAACAAGAGGCTGTAGCTTGGATTAAAGAAGCAGCCATTCTTCTGAAGAAAGGTGACCAACCTCAAAATCTAACAGATTCTCTTTTGCAATCCTGATGACAGGCTTTCTATGCTGGACACTTGTAAACCCTTTCCTCACAAGTTGAATTGTTCCAAAAATGAGACCCTATTCTATCCTTCTTGACTAGCACAATAAGCTTTCTTTTATGTTTTCTAGGGTTTTTTTAATCTACATTTTAGTTTTCAGATTTTATCTTGCTTTCCCTCCTCTTCACTTTCCCCTCCATTTATGTTATATTCAATTTATTTTATTTTTCTGCTATGGGACAATGGTCTTGTTGTATTAATAAAACACTGATTGGCCAGTAGCCAGGCAGGAAGTACAGACGGGGCAACAAGAACAGGCGAATTCTGGAAAGAAAAAAGGGTGAGTATGCTGTTGACACCCAGCTGCAGAGGAAGCAAGATGAGAATGCCTCACTGATAAAAGGAACCAAGCCATGTGGCTAACACAGACAAGAATTATGGGCTAATTTAAGATGTAAGAAAGAGATAAGAAGAAGCCTGAGCTAATAGGCCAACCAGTTCATGATTAATGTAGACCTCTGAGTGTTTCTTTGGGACTGAACAGCTGTGGGAACAGTAGGACAGAAACCTTTGTCAACAAATGGCACCAATGTGGACAACTAAATCCACTTAAAACCTGAGAGAGTTTGGGAAGTAATTCTAGACACAAGAGAACAGAGTTAAGCATGGCTTTTTGGTAGCAGCATTTTCTCTGGTGGGGTCTGTTTGCTAGAGGCAAGCGTGTCTCATTTAAGATAGGCTTCCTGACTCAGCTTTAGCTGCACAAACCTTGCAGCTGTTTTAAGAGGACCTGACAACAAACACTTAAATGGTGTTTATGATTAGCTGGCAGCATGCTTCTTGGTGGTAGCAGGGACCCTGAAACTCCGTAGAGTTATGACAATAAACACAGCTCTGTCCAGTATCTCTGCCCTGAGGCTAGACTCTCAAAAAGCCAAGGAATTGGGTGGATCCAGCCATCAAGGCCATGATTTTAATCCTAGTCACATTTCTTAGCAAGTCAAAGACTCATATGGTCAGAAAAAGAGAGATGTACAGTAAAGATGAAGAAAATATCTAAATGGTTAACGGTGTGTTTAAAAATATATAGGCTTGGGAGAGAAAGGAAAAAAGAATAAAGTTCTTAAAAAAGAAAAAGAGAGAGTAGTTGGATGTGGTGGCATACACCTTTAATCCCAATACTTGGGAGGCAGAGGCAGGCAAATCTCTGTGAGTTCAAGGACAACCTGGTCCATAGAGTGAGTGCCAGGAAAGCCAAAGATACACAGAGAAACCTAGTCTCAAAAAACCAAAAATTAAAAATAAAAAAGAAATAGAGTTTAAAATAAAGCCATGTAAAGATAGAAAATGCATAGAGAGTCTGAATACTGTATGTTATTGTGTTGTCTTTGAATTGCTTGATCGCTGAGGAAGGAGCAAAAACTTTGCTAAAAGACATTTGATTACAAATGCTGCTGGATTAATACAACATATATATTTTGAAAATGCTTTGACATCAAAATTTAAGTCAAAAGATAAGTTACTTTGGAGAAGAGGTTTTGTTTTTGTTTCCACAGGAAAAGAGAGGCTGTGGACTCATTCTGGGTTAAGAATAATCAGGTTTGATCAAGGAAGACCACCCGAAGAATCTCTGATAGGAGCAGATGATCCAAAAGATCAAACATTTAAGAGAACCTCTGTTGGAGTTTCCTCTGAATTCTATATCTAGAACAGCTTCAAGACTGCTAGCTGAGATGATCAAGCCTCACTGAATACTCTAATTAGGATTTGATCATATTCTAAATCTTCTTTAGGTTCCCATAAGATTGTCAGCGTCCTCAATCAGCAGGAAGCAGCCTGGAAACCTATGCAAGCAGTCCCCAAAATTGGCTTATGGATATTTATCTTTGTTTAAAGTGTTGGTTATAAATTGTTATGGATAATGGTCAGAAAAAAAAAGCTAAACAAAGGAGATTATATTCAGAATTCTTGTTTGATAAAAAAGGGGGGGGGAGTGCTTGGGACAATGATCTTGTATTAATAAAATGCTGACTGACCAGTAGCCAGGCAGGAAGTATAGGTGGGGCAACCAGATAGGAAGTAGAGATGGCATGACAATAACAGGAGAATTCTGGGAAGAGGAAATAGTGAGTTTGCAGTCATAACCCAGCCACAGAGGAAACAAGAAGAGAATGTCTCACTGATGAAAGGTACCAAGCCACATGACTAACACAGACATGAATTATGGGCTAATTTAAGATATAAGAAAGAGTTAATAAGAAGCCTGAGCTAATAGGCCAATCAGTTTATGATTAATGTAAACCTCTATGTGTTTCTTTGGGACTGAATGGCTGCGGGACCGGGCAGGACAGAAACCTCTGTCAACATTTATCTGTTTTCATCTATTACAAATAGCTTAAGAGTATCCTTTCAACATTTAGCTTGAAGTCTGTTTCAAACAGTATTCTTAAAAACAAAACAATATAAATCCAAAACAGCCATTTGGAGTATCAGGTGTGAAAAAAGATAAGATCTCTGCTTTCCAATGGGAGAGGTAGAAAACAGAAAAGACAGTTTTAGAAATGTGATCCAAGTTCAGTGTGTGTGGGGGGGTTAATCTGGATTGTGTCTACTGAGGATATTCATATGAAGTCTCCCTGAGAGCTAACACCCTGGCGAAGTTTGAAGAGAAGATGGTCAAATATGTAACGTCAGGGAAAGGTTCCATGTATGGGGAAACAGTAACAAGCCAATGGTTTAAAATGTCAGAGTTTGGATTGTTGTATGTCCTGCCAAGAGTCAATTTTCAATCCAGTCAGAGAAGCATGCTCCTTACTCCAGAGTGCAGTCTATTTGTTAGCGTTAAGCTTTGGTTAATATTTGCCACTCCTAATAAATATTAGCAAATATCTGTAGATCATCTCTATTTATCTGTCTCTAGGAATCTATCCGCATAATAAAGTGTCTGCTTATATTCATACACATGTATGTGTGAACAGCCAGTGGAAGAGGATCACAAAAACAAGGCTGGTTTATGACTGCCTCCCAGTATATCCATCCTTAGGCCCGCAGAGCCTGGAATATTGAAGGGAAATATTGCTGAGTGGATGCCTCTAATGAGGGATACAGAAATACATATAGACTACACGTACAGGATGATGTATGTGTACCAGGCTTTTTCTTTTGGACCACCAACCAGCTCCCAAATCAGGACATGGAAACTTATTAGTTTTGAATGTTCAGCCAAGCTTAGGTTCTGTGTCTGGCTATTTTTTTTTTTTAACTCAACCTGTTTCTCCTCATCTACTTTTTGCCTCAGGGCTTTTTACTTTCTTTCTGTATATCTTACTTTCACTGCTTGTGCCTTCTGGCTGGCGGCTGCCTGGCTTTTTCCCTGGGTGTATCCCTCCTTTGCTCCTCTTAGTATCCTGGTTCTCCTATTTATTCTCTCTCCCTGCCAGACCCGCCTATCCTTTCTCTGCCTAGCTATTGGCCATTCAGCTCTTTATTTGATCAATCAGGTGTCTCAGCAGGCAAAGTGAACCAAAAGCAACACAGCTTTTCATAATTAAACACATCCTTACATTGTTAAACAAATGCAGCATAAACAAATGTAACACATCTTTACACAGTTAAAGTAATATTCCTCAACATAAACAAACGTAACATGTCTTTACATATTTAAAATAATATTTTGCAAGAGTATATATCAGGGACACATTCACAGAGGGTTGAAAAACAAAAGGAAATATTGTTATTTGTGTAAATTTTATACAGTAAGCATATGTATTCCATGTAATGAAACACCACCAAAAAGTGATGGGAGAAACCTTAAGTTTTGGTTCATGAGCTGAGGTGAAAACCAGAGTGTTACTTATACTTCCTGTCTTTGGACTGATGTTTCAATTTTTTTCTACTATGACTTTGTCTTCAAAGGAAGATGAACAATGACTCAAAACCATTTGGTAATACCATCAGACACTGTCTATATTGGCTAGGATAACTCCAAGTCTGGAGGAGGGGTGTGAGGAATATGATCAAATATGTTCTATGTGAAAAAAATCTAATAAAAAATGTAAAGCCAAAAACAGCCACTTGTAACCTAAACCCACCCTGTCTCAGGCAACAAGGAAATGACTTAAGATAAAACAAGCCAGGTGTGACTTTCCCTCCCCTCTAAACCTAGAGAGTTGCTCACCCTCTGCACAAGCTGTGCGACCTGCCTTTCCCACGGTCGAAGACTAGGCCTACCCTAAACCCCGAAAACAGTGCAAACTGCTACTGCCACAGCCAGGCTCTGAGTGAACATCTATTCCTCTCTCCACTCAGGCTGCCTACTCTTTAAGTGCTTCCCCCTAAGCTAGTCTGCACTTTGGGGATGGTCTCCACACCACACATTTGCGTAACCCTAGGAGAACTCTACCAGGTCCTCCACGCCAACCTTGCTCAACCCAACCTTGGATGAGCTCCTTGCTATGAGCTCCTTCTACAGACAAGGTACCAGCACTCCCGAGACACAGACTCCTGGATCCTACCAGATAAAGTAGACAGCAGGAACAAAAGGGCCTCTGCGCAGAGGCCCAGGAAGCACCACCAGAAAGTGGAGGTCTTCCTCCTGCGGCGGGGAGGCTTTGCGTCCGGCGCGAGAGGTTCCGCCGTCATGTTACCAGAATGAAGGGAAAACTGAGCGCCAGGCCTCCAGGGAGCTGCTTTTGAGCTAAGTGAACAGACGCAACAATCCTGAAACTAAAGTGAGCCAGGCGACACAAGTGGGCGTGGCCAGGCCACTCCCGGAGGGCCAGTGACTCAAGGTGATGCTGACTAGGCCAATCGGTTGGCAGTGAGGCGGGGCCTCAATTCAAGGGATTGGAATAACGGGGTTGAGCTCTCGCCAAGGATTATCCGGTTTGTCAACTGCTAACCTTTATCTGCTGTGCTCATTCTCTGACACCTTTAACTCAACCCGTAGGAAGTTGCACTGCTCCCAAGTCCTCTTCCGCTTTGCTGCACTCCTCAGCTTGGGTGGTACTCTTCCACAGGCTGTGGAGCTCCTCCCCAGTCAGGGTTGTGCTCCTCTATGGGTTGTCCCCCAACAGATGTTGCTCATTGTTCCTCCCCCAACTGCTTTACAGTTGCTCTAGAATCTGCTTACCAGCAGGAGCTGACCCTGGCTCAGATAAACAAGCGCAACACTCTACTCAGAAAGGGTGGAAAGACTAGTTGGCCCTGTGATCATTGCTCGAAACTGGAGCTCGAAGAATAAAGCATAGGGCCCGCAGAGACCTGGAGCACAGCTGTGGGTCATCATACAGCCAGCACCCCTGGTGCTCATCCAGGATGCCTCAGACTGGTCTCCCTGTTCGTTGTTGCATTTGGCATTAGTCACATCGGAATATGTGAAGAAAATACCTATATTTTCTTCATTTGAATTATACAATACAATCCTCAAATCTCAAATGTTTGCCCAGTGAGTTCCCAGCCCCTAAGGTCACCACCCACCCCGTTGCTGTAAATTATTGTACAGAACACTTTCCTGGGGGCAGCGAGCATTGCAAGCCCACTCTTGAAGTGAAGCTATTCTCTATCTCAGCCCTGCTTTGAAATGTTTTCAGGGACAGTGTTGACGGTGAACGTTCCAGGATCCTGACAGTTGCCTGAAGTCTACAGTCAAACCTTCGGATGAAGGAGAGGATTCAAAATAAAAGTGGTTTCTCCAATTAATGGGAAATATCTCGTTTAGCTGTCAAAGAGAAGGACACAGGCTTGTGGGTCAGAATAGGACTCAATTTCTTAAACAATAGAGTGGAATGTCATTTATTAAGTGACATAGAAATCAGTTGTTAGGTGCTTTGTGTGTGCATCAGGAATTATCATGTTTACCTTATGTTTTTCAGAGAGTGGAGTATGGCCAGCTGACCTTCCTGCACAGTTAGTGCAGGATCTAACTTCCTCCCTTAAAAGTTCAGAAAACAAACAAACAAAACAAAACAAATACAGAAACAAGAACTGTTCTTAGAAGGACACTTATTTTGTCCATTTTTGGCTTTGTATCTTTTTTTCTGTGCCTCGGGTGTGTGTAGTATAGTGTGTTGTGTGTGTACTAGTATGGGTGCATTCACCTGTCCATGTAAGTATGTGTATGTGCATGTGGTTGTGGAGACCAGTGGTCAACATCTGGTACCTTCCTCAGTCACTCTGTTTTAGCTAGGGTTTTATTGCTGTGAAGAGACTTTATCACTATGACAACTCTTATAAAGAAAAACATTCAATTGGGGCTGGTTTACAATTCAGAGGTTTAATCCATTATTGTCATGGTGCAACATTGTGACACTCAGGCAGACATGGTGCTGGAGAAGGAGCTGAGAGTTCTAATATCTGGATCCCCAGGCAGCAGGAAGAGACTGTGAACCATTAGGCCTGGCTTGAGCTTCTGAGACCTCAAAACCCAGCCCCCGATGACTCACTTCCTCCAACAAAGCTATAACCACTCCATCAATGTCATTCCTCCTAACAGTGCCACTCCCTATAGATCTATAGGGGTCATTTGTATCCAAACCACCACATTCTCCAACTTATTTTGTGAGACAGAGTTACTGAATCTAAAACTCATCGAGCCAAGTAAATTCTAGGAATCTTTCTGTTTCTTGTCTCTCCACTTCTTGGCCTTATAGGCACTTTGGAGCTTTTTATGTAGTAAATTCCAGGGATCTAAATTCAAGTCCTCATGCTTCTGCAGTGGGACTTAAAAGGTAAATATATTAAATTACAAACTTCCACGAATTAATATATAATATCCCTTTGTGCTACAAGATGCATTTTGGTGGTGGTGGTGGTGGTGGTGGTGGTGGTGGTGGTGGTGGTGGTGGAAGTGTGGGGGACATGGAGTCACTGGCCTTTGCATAGGTCTTTCCCTATCTTTCTTGTCTAGCTATTCCTTATGGTGTTTGTTTTAGACAAAATATACCATGATCAAAAAGTTGGGGAAGGAAGGTTTATTTGGCTTACACTGCCACATCACAGTTCACCGTCAAAGGACGAGAGGACAGGAACTCAAGCAGGCAGGATCCTGGAGGCAGTGGTTGATGCAGAGGCCACAGAGAAACAGTGCTTATTGACTTGTGTATCCGCGCAAAATAAATGCAATGCAGATATCAAAGAATATTTACCACTTTAATGATAAACTTACAGAACCAAAGTTCCAGCATAGTACAGGAGGTAGGGCGGGGGAAAAAAAGGGCCGAGCAGCTGAGCCGCGCCCATTTATCGGCAGGCATATGCCCGAGGCAAACCCCGCCTCCTAAAGGGGCTGTCTTAACCCTACAGACTTGTTCTCATGGCTTGCTCAGCCTGCTTTTTATACACCCAGATGTGGCCCCAGGGACAAGGGGCTGCACTCCCACATCAATCACTAATTAAGAAAATGATCTATAGGCCTGCCTACAGTCCAGTCTTATTGAGGTATTTTCTTAATTGAGGCTCCCTCCTCTCCAGTGAGTCTATCTTGTATCAAACTGACATAAAACTAGCCAGCACAGTGTCAAGCCAATTGTATAACACATCCTTAAACTAGCTATTAAAACCAGAAACTAGCAATAATTATGTGCAAACCTTTTGTTCAATATCTAGGAATCTGACATTTTCTTGAGATCATGAGCAAGCTCAAAATATCACACACACATATACACACTAAAGATATGTGGTCATTTGTTTCTATTTTTTTCTTCATGTGTATAGATATAGCATGCATGCATATGTGTATGTGTTCATGAGCACATGTGCACACATCTTTGTGTATGTGTATTTATATGCACACATGCACAAACATACCTTTGAGGTCTGAGGTTGATATTAGGAATCTTTTTCAAAATATGTATTTATGTTTATTCTATATTTTGTCTGAATATACATCTGTATTCCAAGTGCATGCAGTGTTCTTGGAGGCTGAATGAAGGTGAATCCTCTGGAATTCCATCTGGAGTTACAGATGGTTGTGAGCTGAGCCACCACATGGATGCCGAGAACTGAACTCTAGGTTCTATGAAAGAGTAACAAGTGCTCTTAACTAGCTATCCAGCCCCAGGAATCTTGTTCAGTTGCTCTCCCACGTTATCTTCTGAGGCAAGGTCTCTCAGTGAAATTCAGAGCTCACTGTTATAGAGTTCAGATAGTCAGTTTGCTCAGGGCATGATATCTCTCAGCCTTCTGAGACTGGGAACCTGAATGCTGGCCCTCTTGCTTGTGTGTAAGGGCTTTAACTGCTAAGCTCTCTCCTTAACCAGGGTTATTTATTTTAAAAGTGTGAACATATGATTATTAACTAGGTAAGTTCTTAAAATAACATATAACTTATAAATATCTAATATGCAGCATTGATGTTTATAAAACATACAATCCATACTCATTGTATAAACTCCATTCTATACCAGGCGCCCTTCTAGTACCTGTTGGGCTCTGCCCTAAATTCCTGAAAGATGAGCTCCTACCATTCTGCACCCTCTCCAGAGTGGTGTAACTGCTGTGAGATCATTAACCGCTTGCTCTGTCTGGCTTCTGTGAATGCACTGATTGCTGTGTACAGGGGAATGAGACAGCTCCTTTATTGCTATGTAGCTGAGGAGAGTGAAACAGCCTCATAAAGCTACAAATTCCACAGGAACAGGTAATTGTGGTCTCCGCCTTAAAAAACCCTTTCCTTAGCCCCTTCTGGACAGCACACATTCAGTTTAGCTTTAAGGAGGCTGACCTGCATGCAGCTTCAATAAAAATTTTAATTATAATCTGGATTGAGTCGTTAGTTCTCAACTCTGTACCATAATATTCAAATAAATTTAAACATATTAGTCTCAATTATTTATAATTTCTTTACAGGAAAAGTTTGTAAATCAATTCTTCTAGCTTTTGTTTTTACAGTGTCGGCATAGGTTTCCCATAGTGGCCCTGCTTTGCAGTCCACCTCCGCAGGCTCCGCCCAGCATGTGCTGACTGATGCTTCTTAAGAGCTGTACTTTTTTAGTTAATGTATTCTGAACTTATTTAAAGGTAAGTTACTTTACGCCAGTTGTTCTTTTGTTTACATGGTACAGAGAACGTTTAAAGTAGAAGAAACCCAGCGTTTAGTCTTTTCTAGACAGTCCTCTTAAGTCATCTTGAGCACTTTCCATCACCATTTAAAATACCTCTAAATAAGCAAAAGCTTCTTCTCTTCCACAGAGCAGGTGATAACTGATATTACATATGGTTATCTCCAATCTGTTCAGAGTGTGTTCTGTTTTAAAAATGTATTATTAACGGCCATTGTTGCACAAAAATAATTATTATTTTCATATATTTTTGTATTTTTCCTAATGTTCTTTAATGAGCCCATTCCATATTATGAACATTTTAAAATAAGAAAGGAAAACTATGGACTTAAAAAGCAGAACTCTTAGACTACATCTTCAGTTTTCTGTCCACTCAGTCTTGTTCTCTTACTATATGGTGTGTGATTTAACATAAGGTAAGGGAGTGGCCACCACACAGGCAGGCTAAATGCAGAACTTTGCTGGATGCCGTTGAAGCTTCATTACCCCTAAATAAAATTTCCCGCATTTCTATGAAGTAATGTCAAAAGCTTGAATCTTAGATCTTACTCTGTTGAAATGAGCTGGCTTCTTAACATAGAA